CGGGAAGTTGTATTCGGAAAGAATAAACCAGTTTTATTAAGTAAGGACTTGTGTCGCTAAAGTTTCGTCTTACGGATAATCAACTAACGAACGGAGACGTAACAGCACCTTGTATTGAATCTACCCAGATCTAGATATAGCCCTGTCTCATCAATTCTAGATTTAGATTTATTAGCCCTAACTTTTAGAACAAATGTTACATCTAGATCTATTAACTTAGTCATTACATCTGTCCCGGTGCAATGCCTAGTTTAATAGTTAGTATAGGTTTAAGTATGCCTATAATACAGGCTACAATTTGTATGATGATGGATCTTGGGTCTATAAATAAAGTTATAACTGCAATTAGACCTAAAGTCTAGTACATTATTTGGTGTAAGACATGATTTACAATCAGCCAATACAATTACAAACCACTACATTAGGCCTATAATGTTTACTAGATCTAGATCTAGGCCTTGCCTGTTGCATACATTGCCAATCTTGCACACCTGTTAATATGTTACATCAATCTCGTATCTTCTTTTTGTTGAACATACATTTACTTGTACGTTGTACTCTAGGACTTGTATTTGATCTACAGATGAATGATGGAATAGTGTAATTTACTTCTGTACGTCAATTCGGTCTCACTGTATTTCAGTGGGCGGCTTTTAAAAGTTAAAACTGCAAGCGCAATACACACAAATAACGTAAAACTGTGTCGTAATTACTTAACGTTGGGCAGTTGCGCTATATCCTAGGGGAGGGCATAATTATTAATTAATAGGCCAGAGGAAATTTTGCGCCCCTTTACACCTGCGCCCGGGGGCGATTCCCCCTCTTGCTACGCCACTGGGCCAACAACAGCAGTGTCCTTCACTGATAGGGAAATGATACGTAGAAGTTCATAGTCTCTCCTATTTTTAATGAGATTGACCTGTGGAATTACTCCTTGCAGCCGTCTTAGCTGTAAAAAGAGCAGCTATGAGAGCTGTCAGGAGTAGATGTCTTTCCCAGTACATCAGTAGTTTCCGCAACTGAAGGTGGTAACCAGAAGTTTGGAAACTCAGCCGAAAAACCTTTACAACCTTTGTTTTCTGAGTTATCAGACAGTACTTCACAGTGAAAGTACTAAATTTTGTTTGTTTGAAATTATGCACAAGCTACACAATGGGCTATCTGTGCACTTACCACCACGGGTATCAAAAACCGGTTTCTAGCGTTGTAAGTCTGCAGACATTCCGCTGTGCCACTGGGGGCATTAAATTTTGTGATTATCGATTGATTTGCCTCATAAAATAGGATGATCATTTTGATGAAAAATCAATGACAGAAAGACATCATGAATCTTGCTCTCTGAGTCAATGAGCGAATTTTTTGATGCAGAATATCTCCGACATCTTGAGAGAATCACTTACCTGATCTAGCTGTGTGGCGAGAATTCTACAGAGCGTGATACATAGTACTTTCCATATTATACCGTATATACCTGGAAGGCATACTGATTCTACATGTAGTGAGAAAGTTGTGTTTACTCTTAGTATACGTTAATACATAGTAATAGCACGAACACTAATCCTGGCTGATGAGAGTTTTAGCTGAAAACCTTTCATACAGCAGTGCTCTGCTAGCGGTTGCTTATTTTGTGGTGCTTGAAAAAAAAAAAAAACGAGTTTGAAGGTTTCAAAGGTCATCGCTACTGAGAAGTGGTTTTGGAAGGTAAACCAAGAAGGTTACCAAGGTAGTTTATGTGAAAGCCAGAGATAATCTATTGTAAGCTTCTAGAGTAGGTGATTTCGTGTAATGGTGATATATATGTGTGTCACACTATATTTATTTAAATTTGTGTGTTTGGTTTGCTTTGAATATCGCGCAAAGCTACACGAAGGTTATCTATGCTAGCCATCCCTAATTTAGTAGTGATAGACTAAAGGGAAGGCAACTTGTGAACACTACCCATTGTCAACTCTTGGGCAAACCATTTACCAACAAATATAGGTGTGACTATCACGGCTGAAAGATCAAGCAAGTTCAGCGACTGTGATTCGAACTCGTGACCTGCAGATTGCAAGTCGAGCACCCTAGCTACCAAGCCATGTATATTAATGTATGTATATATATTGTTGCGTCAGCCAGTCACATGACCACTGTGACGCCACGTTTCTAGAACTATCCTGTACTTTGGCGAATGCTCTAGTAATTACTAGATAGGGTAGGCGGGTATATATAAGAGGGGACAACGTGACGCGAGGATATTGTATTGTGTGTGTAGATAGTGAGTAATTGAACTGCAGTCAGAAGTATTGTAGACGTTCGTTGTTACAGCGTATGTTTAGCGCGATTGTTGAAGTTGAGTGTATCGGTAAAGTTATATTCGGAAAGAATAAACCAGTTTTATTAAGTAAAGACTCGTGTCGTTAAAGTTTCGTCGGAACGAATTTACGGAGAGTTAATTAACAAACGGAGACGTAACAATATATATATATATATATATATACATATATATGGTCTTGCATGTATATATATGAGCATTACGTAAAGTCATTCATGAGCGTTATATAACCCTAAGGGGTCAAAACTGACTGCTTTTTTTTTCTGTGGAGTTAGCTTGCAACTATTGGCAATGGCAGCATCACATGCATGTTATAACAGATAAACTTCTAAACTAACTCTCAGTAAAAACTTCTGTTTTAGCCAAGAAAACGCCTGATGCAATACCTAGAGAGCCTATGAAGCTGCTGACGTAATAATTAGACATTATTGCAACATTCCATGAAACATATTTGCACCTACATGCATTAGGGCCTCAAAAGAGATAATTCCGAAGAAAAGTATGAAAATAACTGGTGATGCAATAAATTTTTCGTCACTTTACTACAGAGAACAAAAGTAGAAGGAAACAATTTCAATGGTTTTCTAGACCATATCTTTATGCTTAACTTGCATACTAAAGAATATTTTAAAAACATAATATGCCGTCATATCACTAAACATACTATAATATCTTTGAGCATATAATTTGGAAAATATAACACAAATGTGAAGTAAGTGTAACAGCAAAAAGCGTTACAGCATTAGTAATTGTACTATATGCCTAAGGAGCTCTAAGACTTTAGTGCATTCGATGTATTACACCGCAAGAAGTCTTACTCTTAGACTTAAGCATTGATGATCGCAATTGTTAACATTCTTCTGTAACAATAGAAAATTAACTTAAATAACATGCAATGCTTTAACCTTAAATATTTTTCCAATTAAACCAGGGATTTTTAGTAATTTTGTTTGGTTTGTTTATATTATTTCGAAAACAAATGTGAATAATAGTAACTACGGTATAAGTTTTCAACTGAAGTTGTAACTTGGTTTTCACGTTATAGAGTTACATAATCTAAGCCAAATTAGGCTTGATAAGTTTTACTCGGAAAATTAGTTATAGTGTTATTATATTAGTTCTAAATCCAGTTAGATCAGTGCTGTATAATAAAAAAATTGACCCAAGTTAATGTTATTTTAATTCTGCTGAGAAGTCGGCTTCTTAGTTTAACTTTATCAATTTGTGCCAAGAAGTTGCTGAACGTGTCACTGTCACTAATTTTCGTTTGTGACTTTAAATTGTAAAGATTTCAGTTCAAGCTCAAACAAAAAAGAAGCTTTAAAAATGGTAAGAAATTAAATTTTTAAAGTAGTATTAGTAATAAAAGGTAAGTATTAAATTGAGTTACAATGTACTTACGCTACATTGTCTCAGTATTATTAGTATTACTAATACTATTAGTAGTAGTAATATTACATAAGGTAACGTAACAGAAGGTTATTTTGCCTATAGACTGAACGAGACTACTCGTTCAAAAAAATACTAAACAGGAAGCTGAAGATTGTTACTTATTCATAATCCGTAATTCTGTATCTATATTGGAATACTCAGCTTTACACTGTATTTGTGTACTTTTCAGAAAGTTTATTTTATTATAGTTTTAATATTATCTATATTATCTAAAATGTGAAAAATTGTGGGAAATCCACTTTGTAAAAAACATCCTAAAATGCTGCGTATACTACTGTATATACATGAGCTTGAGTCCCGAGACTGCATAAACCTATTTATAAATGAATTATGTACATATTTCCTAATCTAAATTATTTTCTCTATAATCTTATAGGGAACCAGTATGGGTTATGCTGCGAAATGGGTGCTTAGTCCACTTTTTATTTATTTCTCAGTTTCTGGACTTTCGACGACTGTGTAAAGTAAATTTAAGGAGAGTATAGACAAAAGGTGTCAAATGTTTCTCATTTTGTTTAAAATTTGTTAAAAAAATAACATAGCCAAGGTGTTCAACTGTTTTTCCTTTTTGCAGGCAGAGGCTTACTATTAAAAAGATTTTCTTCCACCAAGTCTGTCATTCTACGTCCGTTCATTATTTATTATCATACAGCTGATAAAATTGGAGTGGTTGTATATACTTAAAGTGATAGTGAAGAGGATTGAAAAGAATAGAATTTATTTTTGACTTTAGGAAAAATAATTCTTTAATTTTTTTTCAAATAAGAAATTTATAATGAGAATCTTTTATTAAAACAACAGCATGTTTTATGAACCACATTAATAATAGGGTTTTACAAATCCGATGAAAAATGTATCCTTTTGCATGAACTTGAAATTGTTTTTACTTTTATTATTTCATCCCAAAATGTTAGATGTAAGTAAGGCCTTTGTGGGTTGTTACAAAAGCAGTATCAGATGATTATGGGATGGGTGAGTTATTAAGTTCTACTTTGCCTTCAGTTTTTTAAGCAATATTTCACATCCTGAATAGTTGGTAGATGGAAACAAGATTGAACAAAATCACATTAATTCTGAGCTTGTTAAGAAAAAATTATAAAGTATAAAGAATGAAAATGCTTCTGAACCAGATAATATTTACACAAGGGTTTTTGAAATATGTAGATGATTGGATATCTGAGTCACTTGCTACAATTTTTCTAAGTCTTTAAATAGTGGACAGGTAGAAGATTGGAAATTAGCTAATGTTACTCCTCTTTGCAAGGAAGTTGATAAAAATTGTCTCAATAATTATAGGCTTATTAGTCTTGCATCATTGGTTGGAAAAGGTTTTGAAAATCTGGTAAAATATGCTTTGAGAAGTCATTTAACAAAGTTTAATATTATTTTGGACAGTTACTATGGGGAAATCTTGACTTACTAATCTTTTGAAATTCTTTGATGAGGTTACTTTTTATGTAGATGAGGGTAAAGAGATTTTAAGAAAGCATTTGACAAGTGCCAAATGAAAGGTATTTGTAAGTGTGAGAGATAGGTTGGCTCATGGGATAGAAAACTGGATAGATGGAAGAAAGCAGAGGATTATTATAAGTGGAGTACAGTCAAACTGGATTAGTCTCACAAGTGTTATACCTTACAACTCAGTGTTAGGACTTTGTTCTTTTTAATTTAAATCAATGGTATAGATGAAGGAATGATAAATAAATGATTTAAATTTGCTGATATTAAAGTTTTGGTTGTTGCTCTATGTGAGGATGCTGCTGCTTTACAAAAGGATTTGGATTATTTAGTGAATTGGGTGAATAAATGGCAGATGATATAATAAATGCAAGGTAATGCATGTAAGATATCACAATTTGAATTATGGGTATAATTTTGATGGGAATAACCTTAACAGTTTTATAGAAGAAAATAATCTTGGTGTTCTGGTTGATCAATCTGTTAAACCTTCAGATGTGGTAGATGCAGTTAATTTAAGAGAATTGAAGGAAGGCTTGATAAATATTTTAATCATAAGGGCTGGTTTTGAGTGTTTTATCTTAGAGCTCAGTATAGTGGATGGGATGGCCTTGATTGACAAACAGGTTCCTTGTTTTTATGTATGTAAGACATATTTTTTGAGTCGCTAAACTTGTCAAATATTTTGTAAGGTACATTTTATTTTTTCTCAAATAAAGAAGGTTAAATAATATCATGTAGTTCCAATATAAACAGTGTTCTCATAATTTGGCATCCCAAGTTTTTCATCTCGTAGGCATGATAGAAAACATATAAGAACTTCCATACAGTATGATCATGATGCATGTTTTTAACACATGATTAGGATATTTTGATAAACAAAGTAAGCAAATTTCACAAAGTTAATGAGTTGTGTGATGCATCACCCGAGTAGCTGTGCAGTGTATACAGAACTCAGAGCATTTAACTGTGGGTTAGTCATCCATTAAGACTTCTGTTAGAGGTCTATAAGTTATGACAATCTACATGATAGAGAAAGATGATGGCAGCAAAATATTGTGACATTAGAATACTATTTTTAAGTATTTACTGTAACTAAATCACCAAGATAAAGAGGTGAGTCAGCTGCATTGCCCAACATGTTTATAGTAGTTGAACAGGAGAGATTTGAACCTCTTAAAGAATGCTTCCCTTCTTAATAAAGTTACTGTACACTGTGATTAAGAACTTTAATTCAAATATGTGAAGATATTATGTACAGTATATGCTAACTTTATTAAAAAGGGAGTGATTTTAAGGGAGTGTAAATCCATCCTGTTTAACTTCTTGTAAACATCTTCCTAACTACTTGAATTTTGTTTTGGTTATGGTACATATTTAATCTAATCAAAAACACCTTAGGTATGAAAAAAAGTGTGGCCATAAAGGGATTGAGTCTGTGACTTAAAGGAATGAACTCAAAATTGGTGGCCAAACTGGTATCTACACTTATAGCATTGATAAGAATTTTATAGCAAATATTAATTCAATAGCTAGTTAGGCATATATTTTGTTTTACTCACCATCATGCCCAAAGTAGAACAGATAGCTCACATGATTTTTGTGTAGGCGTGTGCAAAAATTTTGGTCCAAATTGAGTGTTTTTTGTTGAATAACTGTGCACATGTTGCTTATAGTTAGACCAAATTTGACAACTAATTCTAGGCTGTAAAGATTTATTAGTGTATCAAATTTGAAAAAAAGACATGGAAATTTAGTATTTTTTTCTGTGAAATAAATTTTTTGTTCTTTTGGTGCAAGGAATAAAAAAGAAATTCAATCAAAATTGAAGATTTTATATCCTGTGTGTTTCTTAATGGATTTCTTTAAAATTGACATGTAAAGTAAGGGTCCAGTAGAGCACAGCCACTGAAATTATGTGATAGTTTAGATTATCATAGTCTGAGCTACAGAAAGTGGAAAATTGCTAAACTATCACTTATGTTAATAACACATAGTGTGTCCTGCAGGTTGTTTTGGCCACAAGACACATGCGTCTTGATGATGTTTTTCAGCTGTAACAATATTTGGCTGTTGTCACCTTTCCCTATCATACAGTCACACACACTGTCATAAATAAGAAATTTATTACAATAATACTTGATTTCCCAGTTGCAGCTATAGTTAGATGCTCAGACTAGATGGGTACAGAGCAACATGAACTTTTAAATTTAGATATATCTTTGCTTCTATATATTTTATGTCCAACTAATCTATAGCTAAATTCTCTGGACTTTCTATACACTGCATACCTCTTCAGATGATGCTTCATGTGGCTTCCTTTGTGAATCTTACTTCGTGATGCTTGGAGTTAGGAACAGATAGTTAACTTAAAAAGGGAGAGAGAGAGAGGGACACAAATATAGTGGAATATTTAAATTTATTTGCAAGATGTAGTGGATTGTTGGAAAATTTTGTATGTTATACCATATTTTTCGGTGTTTTAGATGCACTTTTTTTACCCTAAAATTTGATGTCAAAATCTGCTTGCGTCCTATACACTGAAGGTATGAATAATATATATATGTATATATACAATATACATAA